GCACGCCCGTGGGGCCCTGGGCCCTCAGGGGAGGGGCGCTCGCACTCCTGGCCCGCAGCCTCGTGCTTTGCCGCCGAGCGAGGGGTGGGGCGCTCTAGGCCCTCAAGGGGTTTGAAATGGAACCGCTCTCTTCCCGTCTCCCCTTCCTTCCTCTGTTCGTTCCTTCTTCTCCCTCCTCCACCTCCCTCCTTGCGCCGCCGAGCGAGGGGGGGGGGAAGTGAGGAGGTGAAGGCCTTCTCAGAAGGCGGCGGGACTCATCAGAAGGCCCCCGCGCCTCCGAGAAGCTTGTCCGTGCCTTCGGCGAAGGCTTAGAAGACTTCTCAGAAGGCCGGGGGACTCCCGAGCCTTCTGAGAAGGTCTGCTCCTTCTCACTTCCCCCCCAGGCTCGCTGCCGATACCTGCCTTGGGTGTCCACACGCACAGATCATAGGAGCCTCCTCCTCCTCCTCCTCCTCCTCCTCCTCCTCCTCCTCCTCCTCCTCATCCCTCCTCCTCCTCCCCCTCCTCCTCCTCATCCCTCCTCCTCCTCTCCTCCTCCTCCTCCTCCTCCTCCTCCTCCCTCCTCCTCCTCCTCCTCCTCCTCTCCTCCTCCTCCTCCTCCTCCTCCCTCCTCCTCCTCCTCCTCCCTCCTCCTCCTCCCTCCTCCTCCTCCTCCTCCTCCTCCGTCATCATCATCATCATCATCATCATCATCATCATCATCATCATCATCATCATCATCATCATCATCCTCCTCCTCCTCCCCCTCCTCCTCCTCATCCCTCCTCCTCCTCCTCCTCCTCCCTCCTCCTCTCCTCCCTCCTCCTCCCTCCTCCCTCCCTCCTCCTTCTCCCTCCTCCTCCCTCCTCCTCCTCCTCCTCCTCCTCCTCCTCCTCCTCCTCCTCCTCCTCCTCCCTCCTCCTCCTCCTCCTCCTCCCCCTCCTCCCCCTCCTCCTCCTCCTCCTCCTCCTCCTCCTCCTCCTCCTCCAATGTGTTCCAGGTGTTCCAGGCTCTCCTTTTGTCCCGCGCCTGAGACGACTGGCCGAGTGCGAGCGGCCAAGCTCCACCAGAAGCTCCGGAATCCCCAGACCGCAGCCTGAGCCGATCGCATCATGACATTTGCTCGGCTCGGCGGTGCCGAAGCGGTGTGGTGACCAGGCCGTGCTGTGATTCGGTGGGGGTTCGGGGGCACCGCACGGGTCTTGGGACTCGGGTCGTTCTCCGAGGCTGTCTCGGGCGACCAGGGCAGCAATCAGGAGGGGAACAGAGACACAGACAATGAGTCTTCGATCCCCAGGAAAATGTGGGAAGTGGAGGGGGGAGACGAAACTCCAGAAAGTATTAGAAGATATAGGAATCCTAGGATTTGTGTACATATTTATTTGTGTGTCCCTGGCCCCCCTTCATCTTAGAACCCCCAATTCGCATTGCGTCCAGCCTGGGCCACGAACGAGGGCCTCCAGGAGCGCCCGCCACTTACCCCAACGAAGGCGTGTCGTCGTCGCCGTCGCCGTCGCCGTCGTCGTCGCCGGACCCCGTCCCGGCAGAGGCCCGCGAGGCCAGCTGCGAGCCGGTGGCCGAGGCGCCAGGGGCCGACAGAAAGACGCCCAAGGACGCGGCCCAGCCGCGGGAGGTGCGGGACGAGGCCGCCAAGGGGCCTTCCGGCGGAGCTCGGGGAGTCAAGATTTGTGATGTTCCAACCTAGTTTAGCCTTGATCACCAGAAAAACTTCGAGCACCAAGAAAGTACAGAAATTGGCGGGTTCTCACGTGTCGGGCCTTGGGAGGCGACACTCGTTCGACATTGATTCGATATTTTCTGGGTGCTCGACATTATTTCTGGGATGTGGTCCTCAAGTGCGACGGGAGCAACATCAGTCAAGACGCAAAGAAAGGTCGGGGGCGGCCAAGAGGGGGGTGATGACCAAGGGGGGTGGATATCATGGCGGGGGGCATGGATATCTCCCAAGATGTCATGGCGCCTCTGCTTCTTTCAATAATTACGTCCCTGGCCCCCCCCTGGCCGCGCACATGCCGCCGGGCCATGATTTGCGCACCCCCCGACGCCCCCCTCTTGGCCGCCACTGAAATGGCATCAACACAAACTGTCGGAGGTCTGCGCAGATATTTCCTGGATCGGCGCTGGAGCCCTTCGGCGGCGCCTCCAGAGCCGCCCCTGGCGCGCTTCGATGATCCTCAGAACCTGTGTTAGCGCCAAGGCGTGCTTGTCCACCGACGCCCCTCCATGCGACTCAGGCTGCGTTACGATGGCACCCACAGCCCGATCGGGCGGGGTGAGCACACGTTGGGCTAGCGCACGTCCTGAGGATCCTCGAGCGCTCCGCGCGTCGAGAGGGGGAGTCCAGCGCCGAGCCATGGAGGCCGAGCGGGCCTCCGAAAGCTCATGCTTCTGCCATTGTTTGTCCCTCGAGGGATGAAGCAATCGCGGCGCGCACAGCGGTTTGGCCATCCGGCCCGGAGAGCCCGTGGGCGCGTTGGCCCGAAGAGCCCCCCGAAGGGACGAAGCGCGAGGCGTCGTTGCATCTTGTTTTCCGCTTGAGGCTCGGTCCGAGACAAGGGTCAGCCAATCCCTTCCGAGCCGTCTGCCGACCAAACAACAAACGACACCACCCCACCGACGGCCCTCCATGCTGCGCTACGGCCCATCGGGCGCCCTCATTAGCGCATGCACCACGCAACGACCCGCGCCAGATGTCTCGGTCTACGCCAAGCCCCTCGGGGCCGTAGGAGGGGTGGGGCCGTTTGCTTTCTGGCCCAATCTGGCTGACCCAAGCTTTTGGGAGGCACGTGGAGCCGATTTGGGAGCCCCCAAACCAGGTGGTAAGACAGCAGGTGGTTATTTGGAATCCCCAAAAAGCCACCGCTGGGTTCTGGAGCACGGGGTCACCGCCGGGTGTTGTGAATCATGGAACCACCAGAGTTCGCGACGTCCTCGAAAAAAACGCACGGGTCCCCAAGACGGATGGTGACGCCAAATCGCCCGAGACTCACCGACGGGTGTTGTCACCACCGCATCTGGGGACTACCAGCCGATCCCGCCACCTCTCCCTCTGCTGCCCCCGAGCCGTGAGTTTTGATCTTCCAACCTACTTTTTAGCCTGGATCGCCTGAAAGACGTCCGAGCACCAGAAACAGTATCGGAGCTTGAGGGCTTTCTCGTGTCGGACCCTGGGAGACACTTGTCCGACACTGTTTCGGCGCTGCTTCGGCACTCTTTCCACACTCGTTCAAGGTGCTCGAAATTATTCCTGGGACGTGGTCTTGGGAGACACTCGTCCGACACTGTTTCGGCGCTGCTTCGGCACTCTTTCGACACTCGGTCCGGGTGCTCGACATTATTCCTGGGACGTGGTCCTGGGAGACACTCGTCCGACACTGTTTCGGCACTCTTTCGACACACTGGATCATCGAACGAAAAAAGCACGCACGAAGCCGAAACAATGCACGGGAAATGGACGTCCGAGCGACGGCAAGACCCGCATAGTAAGGTTGGGCAACCTTCCCAAGGGTACCCTTGCAGCCTTGCCTTCTCGGCCCATCCTTGACCGCCTTCATTGGCCGCGGCCCGCCCGAAAAGCTTCGAAGTGGGCGTCCGAGGCCGTTGCATCCTTATCGCGCATTCTTACTATGCGGGTTGACTGTAGATCCGGTCCAGAGCGTCCAGAACGCTCTGAGAAGACCGCGGCGCCCGAGACATCCTGCAGAGCCACCAGATCTCGAGACTTTCGATCCATACTCACCCCCGAACTCATCCTCGTCCTGGCTTCGTCTTTCATGGCATCTATACCACCGCAGGTTCGCCCGCTGAGTGAACCAGCGTCGACTAGCGTCTGGTAATCGACGAGATAGCGTGGATCCAGCGTCGATTGCGCGTCGATTGCGCGTCGATGCCCGTCGGCCGCCGTCGACTCGCAAGAGCGGAATCGGGGGGAGCCCGCTCGCGGCCCAGGGCCTGGCCCCGGCAAGAAAAACACGAACTCCTTCCTTCTTTCAGGAGGATGAAAAGCAGGAGGATGAAAAGCAGGAGGATGAAAAGCAGGAGGAGGAGGAGGAGGAGGAGGAGGGAGAGGAGGAGGCGGAGGAGAAGGAGGAGGAGGAGGGCGAGGGCGAGGGCGAGGGCGAGAGCGAGGCCGAGGGGGAGGAGGAGGAGGAGGAGGAGGAGGAGGAGGAAGAAGGAGGAGAGGATACCCTGGTGTTCTTCGTGTTTGCTGGATGTTGTTGCCCATCCTGCGGAGGGCGCCATTGGACGTTCTGCGTGTCTTGGCCGGCGGAGGGGTTCGTGCGCTCTCGAGGGATGTCCTTGTGGCCCAAGTCCGACTGTATCGCGATGGCATCACTGCAGAGGTCCGCTCGGACTCCTGGATCATGGAGGGGTCTTTTGGCTCGGAAGGGGCTCGCTGTCACTCGGGTCCTTCGGCAGTGGCTCTTCTCCAGCGCTCCTCGGGCACCCAGACGCTTCCTGGGGGCCACAGGGGGCTTCGCTCCTGTCTCTGCCGGTCCTCATGGTACGGTCGGACCGAGGTATGAGATCAAGGTCGGTTCGGGGAGGGGCTGTTCTGTTTGTTTGGGCCAACGGAGGGTCTCATGTTCTTGAAGGATGTCCTTCTGGCCTCACGGTAGCACTGCGACTGTAAACCTTCCGAGGTCGGCGCGGACCATTTTGATCTGCGCCGGACCCCCTGGCGGCGCCTCCGGAGCTGCCCCTTGCGCCGGGAGAGGGGGGTCCAGCGTTAAATCGGGCTTGTCCTTCTACAGGAGGATCTTCAAAAATAGTCAAACAAATAGTCTGGGGACGATATGTTGAGTATGTTTTGACATATGTTTGTTGTTGTTTGAATATGTTTTGTTTTTCACCCAAAGTCCGCCTGTAGGGGGACATGCCCAACCTAACTCCAGCGCCGATCCGAAAAATCTGCGGGGGCGTCTGAAATTTCAGGTCTAGTATGCAGTTTTGTTTCTCTTCCAGGAGAGTCCCGCAAGGACGGGGAGACGGGCTTACCCATGGGCTCCCCCGGCGACTTCCGGTTCAGCGACGTGCCGAAGCCCGAAAATTATTTGCACACGTACCGCGACCTCTACATGAAGGAGCACGTCACCATGTTGAGCCAGTTGCAGGAGGGAACGCAGCGTTTCTTGAGGATCGGATACGAACAGAAACGCATCAACATAATTCTGGACGCGCGTAACCCACTAGCCTCTCTCGCTTTTGTTGTTGTTTCTCGCTTAGCGTTTCGCGTCCTCTCTCGCTGTTGTTTCTTTGTCTTTTCGCTTCCTCTCGCTTTCGCACGGTGCCGCGTAGCCCGTTCGGCATAGCTGCCCCTCACCTGGCTGCCTGACTTTGTGACGCCGCGCGGGTGTCCGCTCGCGGTCGCGATCAAAAAAGTGACCCCACCAGCCCATCCGAAAAAGATGTCCAGGCGAGCTGCCCTGATCAGGGATGTATAGGAGCATGCAGTGGAATAACGGTCTGGGGAACCTGTCGTACCCCAAGAGGAGGAGGATGAAGGAGGAATCGGGGAGGGGGAGGGAGAAAAAGGAGGAGGGAGGGCGAGGAGGCGGAGCAGGCGGAGGAGGAGGAGGGCAAGCAGAATGGGCAGAGGCCTCTGGGGTGCCTCTCGGAGTCTCTTCGGATGTCTCGTGAGAGCTTCTTGGAGTCCTCTTGGGGCGTATTGGGCGCCCTCGGGAGAGCCTCTTGGAACCTCTCGATGGTCTCTTCGGAGGCTCTTGGGGGCCTCTTGGGGCACTCTTGGGAGCCATCTCCGTCTTGGAGGAGATTGAGCAAGGAAGGGGCGGTACCATATTAGACTCCCCCCCAACCAGGGAGCCCAATTGGGCCCAAAACCTCAGTAAAATCCATGCTTTGCGCCTTCTCGCCGAGGCCGTTTGGGACGCTCCCATCGGTCGCGACCCCCCCTTTCAGACACGGGGGGAGGGAGGAGGAGGGGGAGGGGCAAACCCGTCCCCGAAGGGGAAGGAGGGAGGATGGGAGAGTCCGGCGATCGCAGACAGGGAGCAAGGGGGCGTGGAGTCGCGACGGGCCCCGTCTTCGTGGGGAGATCGCGGGTGCCCGCGGCCGAGGGAAGCGGCACCGGCCGCATTTTAAGGAGCGCACCTCGCCCGACCTCCTCCTCCTCCTCCTCCTCCTCCTCCTCCTCCTCCTCCTCCTCCTCCTCCTCCTCCAATCCATGGATCGCTAATCGTAAGTCGGGCCAGTCCCTCTACAGGAGGAAGATGCAAGAACAGTCCAGCAAAAATGGTTTGGGCACGATGTGTTGACGATGGTTGGCCACTTCGGGGGTATTTTTCCTTGAACGGTTGTCGTTTGTCCTGCAACATCCGCCTGTAGGAGGACATGCCCGACCTGGCGCTTGTCCTCGTTTGCGCGCCCCCGAGAGAGGGAACGCTTCAAGCCTGATGATGTTCCAACCTACTTTAGCCTTCATCACCAGAAAGAACCTCGAGCACCAGGACAGTACCGGAGCCGGAGGGCCTTCGCGTGTCGGGCCCTGGGAGGCGAAACTCGCTCGGCACTGCTTCGCTACTCCTGTGGGTGCTCGAGATCAGTTCTGGGCTGTGGTCCTCGAGTGCGAGGGGAGCAGCAGAATCCGAGCCACGCACGCGCAGAGGGCCTCTGGTCTTCGGAGGTCCGCGCGGACTCTGCGCGGAGCGGCGCCGGATCCCCGCCTCCCTGGCGCGCGCGGGCGCGCCAGAGGGCTCCGGCGTGAGGTCGGGCACGTCCCTCTGCAGGAGGAATATCCAGAAACAGTAAGAGAACGTAGTCTGGGGAAGATGTTTAACTTTTTGGAGCCGCTGTGAACAATTGTTGCGTATTCGCTATTTGTCGACCACGGTCCGCCTGTGGGAGGGCATGCCCGACCTAGCTCCAGCGCCGAACCGCGGAGTCCGCGCGGACCTCCGAGAGTGTACGCTTCTGCCGTCTCTCGCTCCTCTAGCTTCAAGTCGGGCACGTCCCTCTGCAGGATGGAGATTCGAAAAGAGTCCAGAAATAGTCGGGGGACGATGTTTTGACTATTGTTGAAGATGTTTGAGCATTCTTCGGCTATTTTTCATGTTTCGTCCAAAATCCGCCTGTAGGAGGGCGTGCCCGACCTAACTCTAGCTGGAGGAGCCTGTTCGACGAGAATTTCATGGCGAACGCGCAGATATCGTCAGGCTTCCACTACCCAGTGAGCGGGGGCTCTTAGAGGGGGGGTTGTCCCGAGGAGGGAGCAGGGAACGACTTCGGCTGGATGTTTACCGTCCTTGCCGTTCAGCTGTCCAATCGAGGGCGCAACCGCGAGGCATCATCGCCGCGCGCGACGCCGAGCATGATGTCTTTTAGGGAGGTGATTCGTATGTTGCACAGGTAGTCGTCTTCGTTGTTTCACAGTCTTCGTGTCCGTCCCCATTAATGGGATGGGCGTGCGGCCCTTCGAGTCGCCTGGCCAGACTTGCCCCGCCTTCACGCCCACCCCCCGAGGTGAGAACGCAGTACGCCACCCTCCACATGCAGCTGCGGGTGAACTCGGGCTCCGTGTGCAGGGAGGATGGCCGCGGCGTCGAGGTGAGCACGCTGATAGACACTCTGAAGCAGGACCGGAACACCTTCGAGCGGGACTCGGAGCCGATGCGCTACCACGTGACGGAGAACGTCAAGGTTCGCCATGAATCAGAGGAGAGCGCGTTGGCTTTCGGGGCCCCCTCGTCGCGTCGCTATGGCTGGACGCAACTCGGAAGAGTTGTGCATCTGGACACTGGGAGGGGTCAGTCGGGCCGAACGAAAGGGATGAATAGGGAAAGGGGGGGGTGCAAAATCTGCGGCATGCAGCTGGTTCCGGCCCCGCCGCTGGGCCCATTCCTCGATACATGGGCGCCTCCAGGCGCCGGGAGGCGCTGGGAAAATCAGCTGCGTGAGCTGATTCTCTACCTCACCCTTTGCTATCCCCCCCCTGTCGTTCCCCCCGAGTCAGGGGGCCGATGTTGAGCTGCCGCTGTCTCCACTGGCCTCCGAGCGAAGGACAGGGGTCCTGAGAGAGAGACGGGCCCCGAGGTTTCTCGACGGTCTCGGGCCCATCGGGGCCCCACTTGGTTGGGCCCCGCGCGCCGTCTGAGAACATGTCTTGGATCGCAGGCCGAGTGGTTGACACCAACACCAGTATCGGCGGTGTGCCTCCACCGAGGGAAGGAGGTCCCGATCTCGGTGATGGCGGTAATGATTCTGGCTTCCAAGGTGGCCGAAAGATTACCACCAACACCGAAAGCTAGGATCATCTTCCCCCTGTGGAGGCAGCCCCCTGTGTTGGTGTTGGTGCCCATTTCCAGGCCTCCAAATGGATGAACCATGAACATCGATCTGCTAGTAATGTGCTGCATCCGTTGCTAAGTTCAGCGTCCGCTTCTAGGTATTTGGCGACGGCCATCGTCGTGAAATGCATCGTGGTCTTCGACGTCTCGAGCCGGAGATTGACTACGGAACTGATTTGCACCAAAGTTGATTTCGCCGCTGGGTCTATTGCACAATTTTACACTGTTCGTAGACTGCGAAAATCCGACGTGTTGCCTTGCAGATCCTGCGGACATGCATTGCTGGGGCAAGCCAACTCCGTAGTCGACCTCCCACTCGAACGCCCCAACGCCCGAAGAAGGAGGCGCGGCCTCCCGAAGCCGAGGGCGCACCGCGCTGAAGAGCAGAAGGCACCGCCTCCCCTCCGCCCCGCGCTCAGTGGCCCGCCCCCCCCCTCTTCTTCCTCCTTTTCCTCTTTCTCCTCCTCCTCCCTCCTCCTCCTCCTCCTTTTCCTCCTCCTTCTCCTCCCCCCCTCCTCCTTCTCCTCCTCCCCTCCTCCTCCTCCTCCCCTTCCTCCTCCTCCTCCTCCTCCTTGCTCTGCGGGCGCGGGGGCGGCGGCCACGCCAGCCGCACCACCCGTGCTGCACGCGGGGGCGCGCGACGGCCGCTGGCGCTCGCGCCCAACCGCGCCCCGCCGGGTTGCCGTGCGGAAGGGCGCCGTGCTCTTATGCATTGCTTCGCCGATCGGTGCGGGGCCCCCTCCTCCCCCCCCCCCCCACTAGACCGGATATTTTGAAAGGGGGCAACAGTCAGGAAGGGAACAAACACACAGACACAATGAATCGTCGATTCCGGGAAAAGATGGGAAAATATGGGAAGTGGGGGGGGAAGACAAAACCCCAGGAGATATTGGAAAATATGGGGACTCCTTTTATTTGCGTGAATTTGTTAGTGTGTCCCAGGGCCCCTTTAAATAGGGCCGTTCAAGCGGTCAGAAAAACGAAGGCCGTTCAGAGGGTCAAATGATCGGTTGACCGCACTGAGTGCATGCCGCCATGACACAGGCGGCGCGGCCATGCCGATCATTGGCGGCTGCTTCTGGCGACCGGTCAGGACCCCCCCTCCCGGTCAGGATTCATGTCGACTCCTCCGGTTCGATGCGAATCGATTTCGACGGCTTCCGATTCCAGCTCGGTTGGGCGAGGCTCTACTTGAGTCTACGAGTGCTCTTTCACGAGAATCAACGCCGATGGTATCGCACGCGTCTCCACCTGCAGAGCCTAGCAATAGAGAGAGGGGAGGGAAATAAGCTTGGAGGGAGGAGGGGTGTCAGGCGGGAACGGAAAGGGAAGCGTGGGGGATGCAACGGGAGGGTGAACGGAGGCTGGACAGGGGAGGAGAGAGGTCAGACTTGGGGCTCTCTTGGGAGCCTCTGGGGGCCCTCTGGGGCCGTTTGGGGGCCCTCTTGGGGGGCCTCTTGGGCCGTCCTGGGCCGTCGGAAGCCCTTGAAGGCGAGAACCCAAAAACAACCTTCAACAACTGTTGGGAAGTCAGTGTTTTGGGCCTCTGGGTACTGTGGGGGCCCTGCTGGTCCTTCTTGGGACCCTCCTGGGCCGTCTGGAGGGCTTTGGCCGTCTTGAGGTTTTCCTTGGGGTCTTCTTGGGGCCCTATTGGGATTCACTCGGGGCCCACTTGGGGCCCTCTGTTGCCGTCGTCGGGCTCTCTTGGGGCGCCTTGGGGCCCCCTCAGGGGCCGTCCTGGGCCATCGGAAGCCCGAAAAGGCGAGAATCCCAAACAACTTACAAAAACCTTAGGAGCATCAATGTTGTTGGCCTCCTCAGGCCCTCTGGGGGGTCCTCAGAAGGGCCTGTGAGGCCACCTTCGGGCCCCCTGAGATCCTCGCAAGGCCATCGTAGGCCATCTTGGAGCGCTCTTGGGCGGTCTTGGCTCTCTGGGAGCTCTCTTGGAGCCATCTTGGACCTCTTCTCGAGGCTATCTTGCAATATCGAAGGCAGTTTTGGGCGCCTATTGGGCCGTCTTGGGGACAGGCTCGCGTGTTTACACTGGTTTGCGCCCCCTACGCCCCTAATTACCCTGGACCCCTCCTCAGAGGGCTTCGCCGCAACTCAAAGTCATCACGTGTACACCGTTCTTTCCGTCACCTGGGCTGGCACGGGAACGGAAGGAGCGTTTCAGAAATTTGCCCGAGATGGTTCATAGCATCGTTCTTTCTTGGAAGCCTTGATGGTACGAGGTGTTGCATCACCGCTAGCTGTTGGTAGCCGTGGTGTTAAGGGTTTTTGCCGTTTCTGTTCCCTCTTTGGAGCCTTGGTGTTAAGAGTTTGTCACGTCACCATGGTGTGTGTCTTGGGAGCCTTGGTGATCAGAGTGTGTAAAGTCACCGTTCGCTCTTGGGAGCCTTGGTGCTAAGAGGTTGTCACGTCTTTCTGGTCTCTTGGGAGCCTTGGTGCTCGGCGCTTTTACGTGACCGCTCGCTCTCGGGAGCCCCGGTTTTAACAATTGTTCACGTCACAGCTCGCTCTTGGGAGCTCTGGTGTTACGAGCTTGTCACATCAATGTGAGCTCTTGGGAGCCTCTGTTGTTTGCCGTCTCCAGGCCTTCTTGGAAGACCTGTTGGGGCCCTTTTGGACCCTTTGTCCTAGGGCTCCGTTGGGGCGTCTTGGGGCGTCTTGGAGAGCGTTGGCCGTCTTGGAGTTTTCTTTGGGGCCTCTTGGAGCTCTCGTGGGAGCCTCGCCCTCTTGGGCAGTCCTGGGGCTCTCTGGACCCGGCTGGGGGCCCTCATGAGGCGCTTCGGGGCCCTCCTGGGGACATCTTGGGCCGTCTTGGGACGATATTGCGGGCCTCTTGGGCCGTCCTGGGTTGCCTGGAATGTCTGGTGCGCAGGCCAATCGCGAGCAGTCCCACGTTTTCACCGAGCCCGAAAAAGTGTCCGACTCAGCCCCCCTTGTGCGCCCGAGCTGGGCCCGAGGCCGCCCCCAGAGGCCCAGGCGCGAGCACCCTCGCGTTGGGTCGCAGCTCCCTCGGAATTCCACTCGCAGCGGGGAGGAGGAGGAGGAGGAGGAGGAGGAGAAGGAGGGGAAGGAGGGGGAGGAGGGTTTCGGGACCGGTCTGCGCCTCGATTTGGGGCTCAAGTGGAGTCGGGCGAGTGGCAATGGGGGGTGACTTGGATGGGGGGGTGATGAGAGAAGGAGCCCTTCGGGGCCCCTCTTGGAGCCAGCAGGGCGCAAAGGGGGCCCTGGAGTGCCCTTTTAGGGTTTTTGCTTCACCCCCCATGGGGTCACCCCCACTGCCACCCGCCCGACTGGGCCCAGAATTGTTCAGCAGAACTCTAGTTTTGAAACGGGGCCTGCATTGCGTCAGCAGCGGCATGCTCAAGAACATTCCTCGTGAGGGGTGTGGGCAGTGTTCTGCATCGTTGCGCGTACTCCGCTGGGCGACAGTACCCCCCAGCGGCGCGAGGTCCATCCCAAAGGGGCCCAAGATGGCTGGAACACAGCCCGAAAGAGGCTAACAAGGGCCCAGAAGGGCCCCGCCCCGACTTGAGTTCAGACAGGGGCGAAAATTGGCCCGAGGCGGCCCAGCGGGCGTCTGAACGGCCCAATCGCGAGCACCCCCGCGGTGGGCTTCTCTTGCATTGAAGACGGGCCGACATTTGGGCCTGTTTTGGGGTTCTTCGGGGTGTGGAATCAGATCCAGAATCGTCGAAAAGTGGCCCTGGAGCTCGTCCACAAACGGCGGCGAAAGTTGCTGCGAGCTGCTCTGGAGGAGCCCGAATGTGAGCTAGAAGACGTGTCCAGGCGGTCCCCGAGAGGCTAGCATCATCAAACGCCATAGGGTTTCGTTATGCTTTTGAATGCACCAGGTTGCTGACGGAGTTGGGCCCAGGAGGCACTCTGGAGGGCCCGGGGCTTCGAGTTTATGGAGACGGAGACGGGTCCAGGCGGGGCCCAAGAAGAGCTGAAAAGCTTATTGGAAACAGTCTAAGCTTCGAGCTCTTCTTGGACGCCGTGGAGACCGAAAGTGAGGCGGGATGCAGACGGGCGGCGGAATGGCGGAGGCCTCGGGGCGGGGAGGGGGGAAGCCACAGCATTGCATCCCAGGGAGCGTGTTTGTTGAAGCGCTGCCAAGACGAAGAAGGGGAGCAGGCTAAAAATGCGCGCGCTCCTAAAGGAATGGGAGATTGCTGCCTCTTGGGGCCCCTGTGTGGTCATCTGTCAGCAGTCGTGTGCCGTCTTTGAGGCAGCGTGGGCCGCCTTGGAGCCATCTTGGACCGTCGTAAGTTCGCCCGGGCCGACTCGACGTCTCTGCGACTGTCTTGGCGCTCTGTTTGGACAGTCTAGGAGCTTGTCGGGGACTCCAGAGGCCTGACGAGCTCGGGGCCCCCGGCAGCCCCCCCCGCTCCCCTTCCCGTCCAACGGCATTTCGGACCACAGAGGAGGGGGAAGGGGCAGTGGGGCAGCAAAGTGTCTCACGCGCCCTGTCGCCCCCGGGCAGGCGGGTGTCGGCGGATTTGTCCAGATTCTGGTGAGCTCACTTGTGTGGCAGCTCCCCTCCCCCCCGTTCCGCCGCCGCCTCGAGCAGCGCTGGGCCAGAGTGACGTGCAGGTGCGTCCCGGCCTGCGCGGAGTCCGGAGATTTCGTTCCGGGCCGCGCGCGCCCTCCGTGCAAGCAAGCTCGCCAAAACCCGCTCCCAGGACACGCCTCCCTCCGGACCCGCGCCCTTCACCTCGGCACCGCTCCATCGAAGAGTAGGCTTGATCATCTTGAGAAAACACGCGCACGAAGCCGAGAGACGCACGGGGACGAGCGACGACGTCCGAGCGATGGCGAGCGATATCCGAGCGACAGGGGAGGGCCAGAGCGAGGAAGAGGGGGAGGGCCAGAGGAGGAGGAGGAGGAGGAGGAGGGAGAGGAGGCGGAGGCGGAGGAGGGGGAGGGGGAGGGGGAGGAGGGGGAAGAGGAGGAGGAAGAGAAGGAGGAGGAGGAGGAGGAGGAGGAGGAGGAAAACGAGGAGGAGAACGAGGAGGAAGGAAGAGGAGGGAGGAAGAGGAGGGAGGGAGTCGCGGCAAGAGGTCTCGCTCCTTGCGGCCGCCAACGAGTACGAGGAGCAGCGGGACGAGAGCGCGCACCGGCACGTGGCGCCCCTGGCCTTCGAGCTGGGCCGCACCAGCATGCCGACCATCCAGGACGCGGGCGAGGACGAGGAGGAGGCGGCCGAGAAGGACATCAAGCGGGCGAGCAAGACGAGGATCGGCATGGAACATAATGGTGCATGTTCGGGGAGACGTAAGACTCGAGTACGCCAGGACTCGGGTGCGGCGACGTTTTTTTCTGACGAGCGCGCCCTGGATGTTGGCGGTCCAGGTTTCGTGGGGCGTGTTCAGCGGGAGCTCGCGTCAAATTTCAGATTGGGTCTCGTCATTTTCATGATGGCCCCGTCAGGCCAATTCGAGTCCCCCGAAAACCGAGTCTTACGTCTCCCCGACATGTGCACAAACAAACGTAACGTGTGTGCTTGTGTATGTGTGTGTCTCTGTGCCTCTGTTTCGTTTCTGTGTCTCTGCCTTTGACTCTGTCTCTGTGTCTCTGTCTCTGTGTCTCTGTCTGTGTGTGTGTGTGTCTGTGTCTGTGTCTGTGTGTGTGCGGTGTGTGTCGGTGTCTGTGTGTGTCTGTGTGTGCCTGCGCGTGTCTGTGCTTGTGTGTTTTTGTGTGTGTGTGTGTCTGTGTGTGGTCTTGTGTGTGTGTCTCTGTGTATGTGTCTGTGTGCGTCTGTCTGTGTATGTCTGTGTATGTCTGTGTGTGTCCGTGTCTGTGTGTGTGTCTGTGCGTGCCTATGTCTGTGTGTGTCTGTTTCTGCGTGTGTGTCCGTGTGTCCGTGTGTGTGTGTGTGTGTGTCTGTGTGTGCGTCTGTGTGTGTGGGTGTCTGTGTGTGTGGGTGTCTGCGTGTGTGCGTGTCTCTGTGTCTCTGTGCCTGTGTCTTCTCTGTGTCTCTGCCTTTGCCTGTGTCTCTGTCTCTGTCTCTGTGTGTGTGAGAGTGTGTGTCTGTGTGTGCTTGTCTGTGTGTGTGTCTGTGTGTGTCAGTGTGTGTGTGTGTCTGTGTGTGTGGTTGTGTGCGTGTGTGTCTGTGTGTGTGTGTCGTTCTGTGTGTGTGCTTGTGAGTGTGTGTGTCAGTGTGTGTGTCTGTGTGTGTCTGTGTGTATGTGCATGTGTGTGTGTGTCTGTGTGTGTGGCTGTGTGCCTGTGTGTGTTTGTGTGTGTGTCTCTGTTTGTGTGTCTCTTGTTGTGTATCTCTGTTTGTGTGTCTATGTATGTGTGTCTGCGTGTTTGTGTGTGCGTGTGTGTGTGTGTGTGTGTGTTCGTTTGCTCCGTAACTGCAGGCGGGAACACCGTAATTACCCGCACTTCAACTCGAGTCAGCCGCGCGCCGCGCAAGCAATGCCGGCGGCGGTGGCCGAGGGGGCGGTCCGTTGGAGAGCCACGGTCAATTGTGCAGCCACCCAACACCGACGCACACACACACACACACGACAGCACACGGCTCTAAAGACCCATCCGTCAAGGACCAGCCCCTTCCAAGCCCTGGTGGCACCGAACGTTGCCAAAGACGCGCGTCGCATCACATGAGCACGTCCTCCCAGCGCCGACGCTGCGGTGATTCTGGCGAGCAGCCAGCGCGCAACAAGCCCACCATCCAGACACCATGCATCGGCCGACGAGGAGGCGGAAGGAGAAGCCACGCACCAGCAACGGGCGGCGGCTTCCGAGCAACATAACAGACGGCGAAGTCCCAGGAGGCCCTCCACAGCACCATCGCCATCCCACAAGAGCCTCAAACCACGCCGCAGTGGCTCGGGGCCGCGCCAGGGCAGAGAGAGCAGTGATAACACGTGTCAGTACATTACCAGGAGAAGACACCACAGCGATTCAGAATGGAAGCGGCTCATTTCCGACCACGAATTGCCGCGGACACAACGGCACAACACGACACACCACAGCACGATCTACAGAAGAGCTGCGCGTGTGCGCACAGTTGCGCGTGTGCGTGTGCGCATGGCGAGCACAGCACAGCACATCACAGCACAGCACACCACGGCACACGCCCGTTGACGTGTGCGCGTGTGTGTGAGTGCGCGGGTGCGTGGGTGTGCAGGTGCGTGGGTGCGTGGTGTCATAACTTGCGCTCCACTGCTGCATCTGCGGCCACTGCTCCCCAACGACTGTGCTGCGGAGGTGGTAAGCACAGCAGGGTAAGCAGCCTGCACGGCATCCAATGGACCGAACAGAATGACATGCAACATGCAGGTGGTAAACGTGCAGCCTGCCACAATAGTTTGCTCGACACTGAGCAGAGAACCAACATCGCCACCAACATCGACGACGCGCGGCGCACGACAAACGTGCACCAGGAGATACACTTGCCACATCGGAAACCCCATCGCCGCCGCAGCGGCGACGAGGTGATGACGCTGCACCAACTCGGACGCCTTTTGAAGATCAGGAAGCAGAGTGGCACAGGCCCTGCTCTTATAAGTGGATTGACTGGGCCAGGCCGCTTGAATCCAAACGCACTTCCCCGAGGACTAACCATGGGCGCTCCAGGAGAAGGATCTGAAATTGTCGGCCTGCCTTTTCCTAATGAGAGGACGTCTCAAGCGACCCTGCAGCCAGGCCAACGCATGCAAGAGCCCGAGGGATCGCACCCCTCCCGAACGCTTAAGACTGAACACGATACGATTCCACATGCAGGGCCACCCTCGCCAGCGCTCGACGCGGCGCACGATGTCACAAAGGGCCTCAAGCACAGCAGGCGGCAGCAGCAGCAAAGAGCGCGGGGCGATCTGGTCGAACCTCGTGCCCGAAGAAAGCTTAAAGCTTCTGAGCGCCCTCACAAGCTCGGCCGCCGCGGGCCTAGGAGGAGGGTCTCCAAGCTCAGGCCGCTGGAGAGGTTCGCGCCCCAAACCGACCTGCCACCACTTCTTCCATTCAGCCTCGAGAGCATCGATCGGCTCGAGCGAAGTACAGGGGCGGAGGGCGCCGCGACAGAGGGCGGCGGGCTGCCGCGGGGCGGGGAAGGGCGAGAACGTGCGACGGCCCGACATCCCCCCACACGAGTGAGGGTCAACCCACTTCCCCCACGCGCGCTCCTTGGCCCGAGCCCAGAGATGACGCTGTCGCGCAGCCTCCTGGCTCGCGAAGTCGGCGAGACACCACTTCGCCGACGCCACCAGCAAGAAGCACGCCTGACGCAACATCGCCGACCACGCGGGCGACGAGCGCCGGGCAAACGATGAGAACAAGAAAGCCGCCGCGCTGCGGCCACAAGCTGCAACCTGCGGGCCGGGCCCCATGCTGGCCCCCTACTGAAGTCGCCACCAACGCGCCCGAGGGGAAAGTTTGGGCAACCTCGGTGGGGCAGGGGCAGAAGGAGTTTTCCACCTGACCTGGAGAGGCTTAACTCAAGGGCATAAAAAACGCCCCTACCCTGGTTTACGAGGCGCTGTGCGCTGAAACTCCTGTGGGCTGACAGGGTAAACCCTGCGTGATGTGCCGCGTCCTGGTGGCTCTAGGCTTTGGGGGTTCCCAGGAGGATTACAGACCAAGCACTTGTAACCCAGGGTAGGGTCGTTTTTTCATCCCTCAATTAACCCGGCACCAATTTGGCACAACGCGCCACAGAAATCTGAAACAGGCAAAGCCATTGAGCCCCCACTTGCCCCCACTTGCCCTGGGCCAGAAGCGCGGGGTCCGCGCAAACCTGCCCGACGAAGGCCCAAGGATCAGTAACGGGGGGGGTCCGAGACAGGCACTGGGAAGCTCCGTGGGGGACCTCTTGGGAACCCGAATGTACCTCACCTGGCACGGCGGCTCGATAGACGGAATGACTCATCTAACAGGGAGGTGGGGGAGAGATGGGCACATCATTGATAAGTTCAGCCCTGGCCAGACCTGCGATCTGGCGCGAGGCGACAAAGAAGTCGATGCAGCGCATGGCTGGCCTGCACGCGCGAGACCCCGGAACAAAAATGGCATCGCTGTGAAGGGCCTCCGCGAGGCAGGCGCCGAGGCTGGCCTGGCCTCCGACGCCGGGCGCGGTATAGAAGACCGCGGCCTGCCCGACCTGGGTCGACGTGCTCGACCCAGCAGCAGCAGCCGAAGCGGCAGGAGCAGACGGAGCGTTGCACACGACGCGAAGATCGGGACAAAATCGGATCGGGATAACTCGAAATCTCTGAGAATCGGCGGGTTTGGAGGATGTATTGGGCGCCGCGGCCGCTCCAGAGCGTTCCGGAACGCTCTGAGAGCGCTCCGGAACGCTCTGGAGCGATATATCCCGATCCTAGCCCTGTTTTAGTGTTGCACTTGTGCAAGCCTGAACTTTTTTTCTGGGCGGCATCACGCAGGCAAGCGAGGACGTTGTCACGCCGTTTCCTCGAGAGCCCCTTGGGCGAGAGGAACGCGCCCCGACCTTCATCCAGGGGGAGCCGCTCAAGGAAAGAGGCGAACTGCTTGGCCACTCGCTGGCCGCCAACTGCCCCCCCTGCTGAAGTGCTGCTCCCCCCCCCCCCCCCCGCGTTAGGCACAAGGGTGGCAGGCGCAGCGCCGGCGGCAAAGGGCGAAGCCGCCGACCCGACGCCATCTCCTCCAAAGATGGCCTCGGCGGCATCCTCGACAGTTAGCGGCCTCGGCTCAGGTGCATCAGCCACGCGGTCGCCGTCATCCTCGCTCTCGTCGTCGTCGCTGTCATCCCCGTCCAGGGAGGCGGGCTGCTTCAGCATGCCGCCACGAGTGGCCATGGGAGAGCGCCGCGAGGCTGCCAGAGCCGCGTCCCAGGATTCGAACTGCAACAGCAGGGCAAAGCCAGGATCATCAGGAGATCCCTCAGCGCCGCCTCCACGCTTGCAGCGCCCACGAGTAGATCCACCACTGACCCCAGCCCATGCAGCCGTGGCCTTGGTCGCGCAGACGCGCTCGTGCTCCTGCAATTGCTCGAGCTTGGCCTTGTGTGCGACAAGCTCCATGAACTTATCTTGGACAAGCTTCTCGAGCTTGCCAACCTTCTGATCCACCTGCAAGACATCGCGCTCGGGCTTATCATAGGCCACCTGGGCATGTTTGGCAAGCGCCTTGGGGTCACCTGCAGCAAGCGCCCGCTGAGCCAAAACTCGCGCGCGCTGACTCGGACCCAATAGCGTCTTGGAGGCCTCAAAATCGTCATTGGACATCTCGACAAAAACTGCAAGCTGAGTGGCATCGAGCAACTTGGGCTTGGCTTCGGGCTCCTTGGACCGCGGCGGCCCGTTGGCCCAAGCTCCTTGAGCAGGCTGCACGGGAGGAGAGCCAGGCACATTAGGACGCTCAGCACCACACTTGTAGCAGTGTTTCTTGAACGAGAAATTGGTCTTGAATCCGGATTTCTTCCGCGGGCAGCACCAGACATCGCCGCGACTGAGATTGCCCATGGACTGCTGGAACAAATGCATTGTGCTCCGCCAGGAGCTCACAAAATGCCGGAACCTCGTCTGACCTGGCAGAGAGGAGTCGAGGACTGGGGGCCGCAAATCCCCCTCGCCAGTAAGGTCAGGTCCTGAGCAAAAACGCTACGGATTTGAGCCAAAATGGCTACGGATCCTCCTCCTCCTCCTCCTCCTCCTCCTCCTCATCCTCCTCCTCCTCCTCCTCCTCCTCCTCCTCCTCCTTCCTCCTCCTCCTCCTCCTCCTCCTCCTCCTCCTCCTCCTCCTCCTCCCTCCTCCCCCACTCCCCCTCCCCACATATCCTCCTCCTCCTCTTTTCCTCCTCTTCCTCCTCCTCCTCCTCCTCCTCCTCCTCCTCCTCCTCCTCCTCCTCCTCTCCTCCTCCTCCTCCTCCTCCTCCTCCTCCTCCTCCTCCTATGAGGAGCAAGAAGAGCCCCGCCGTGCGGGCGGCCAAGTCGCCCGCCCTGGGCAGCGCCGACCCCCCGCCCATAGACCTGCCGCCCGCGCTCACGGCGATCCCAGACCGGGGCCCGTGCCCGTCTCCCAGCGACGAGGCCGGCGGGGAGGAGCAGTCAGCCAGGGGGATCCAACGGCGTGTGGAGGAGGAGGAGGAGGAGGAGGAGGAGGAGGAGGAGGAAGAGGAGGAGGAGGAGAGGAGGAGGAGAAGGAGCAGAAGGAGGAGGAGGAGGAGGAGGAGGAGGAGGAGGAAGAGCAGGAGGAGGAGGATGAGGACCTGGAGGCTGGCGGGGAGGGGCAGTCAGCCAGGGGGATGTCAACGGCGGTGGAAGAGTCTGTTCGGCGGCGAGCGAGGGGGGGAAGTGAGAATCGAAGACGAAAAATCGCCACAAACATCAGCGGATCCTTGGATTCGCGGGGGGTTCTTGGATCCGCGCTGGGGCCCCCTTTGCGGCGCCTCCGGCGCCTCCGCGCGCCAGGGAGAGGGGTCCGGCGCGGATCCAAGATATCCACGCGGAGCGCCAAAAGTTTGTGTATATGCCGTTTTTTTCTTCTTCAAAGGAGATCTCAGAAGCCGCTGGATTTCTGAGAAGCTCTCGCGCCTTCCGAGAAGTTTTCTGGGTTTGTGTTCGGGGAAGGACTTAGAGAATGTGTCGCCGAAAGCGCCAGAGGGTGTCCGAGTTTTCCGAGAGGGCCCGCCCCGTCTCTTTTCCCCCCGGGCTCGCCGCCAAGCCTGGGTCTCCCGGGTGCGGGCCCGAGCGGATGGGGTCGAAGGATAGCTTCGCATTGACGATGCATCGACGATGCGGCTCGATGTGGAGCCAGAAGCTCTCCACGCCGATGGCGCCGATGCATCGCCGACGTCGACGATGCATCGCCGACGCATTGGCGATGCGGCGCGATCCTCGTACACCACCTGCTCGGATCCCCATCCAGGAGGCCTGTCCAGAGACCGTCGCGCCGAAACGTTCTTCGAGATCAGGTGCCGCATCGGAGGGGGAAGTATTGCAGGCACGTGCACTCTCGAGGGGCCGCGCAGAGCTCTCGGATCGGCACGGCCGGAGACCCCTGGCGGAGGCGAACGATGTTTGCGCGGTGGTGTCTTCCTCGACAGTCGGACCTACGCTGAAGTCGGGCATGTCCCTCTACGGGAGGAGTATTCAAGAGTAGTCCAAAAACAGTTGGTGACGACGTTTCGTGCTCTTTTTGCTTGCTAGTTTGATTATGTTTGACTGTTTGCGTTTCTCGTTTCAGATCCGCCTGTAGGAGGACACGCCCGACCTAAACGCAGGCCAGAAGAACGCCCCTCGAGAACACGAGACCCTCCGTCGGCCAAAACAGATGGAACATCCAAGGGCACTCTCTCCCCCAGGATGCACGAGAGCACCCCACAAGCACGAGGAACGTTAGGGTGCCTCTCCCCGAAGCGACCTCGATCGAGGAGGAGGAGGAGGAGGAGGAGGAGGAGGAGGAAGAAAAAAAACAAGGATTAGGAACACCACGAGGAGGAGGGGAAAAACGAGGAGGAGGAGGAGGAAGAGCAGGAGGAGGAGGAAGAAGTGGAGGATGCCTCGATCCAACTGTAGACAACGGCCCGCAGTCGCCGTGCTTCGCCTCGGGGGGCCTGGGCCCCCCCCCCCCCCCCCCATCCCGTCCAGGAGAGCTGCGTGGTCTGTTGTCTCCGTCGGGGGCCGCTTCCAGGTCGATGCATGCCCCCCCCCCCTTCTTGCTAGTCCCTCCCTTCCCCTCCTCCTCCTCCTCCTGCGGCACTGCGGGCAAAGCGGTTCTTGTCCGCCGCAGCCCGCGCCGCGCGCGCGCCCGATCGCGCGGCGCGACGCACGACCCCCTGCCTCTGAGATCCTCTGGAGGGGCCTCAGGAGGGGGCCTCAAAACGCCTCTGGAAACCTGGCCCGCAGACGGGGGAGAGAGGAGCCACAGGGCCTGGGAGGGACCTCAAGGGCCTAGGAGGAGAGGAAAGCGGAGCCAGGGTCCAGGCGCTGGGGCGGGCCTAGGTTTGTACTGGGCCCGCCACCCCCCGACCACCACCTCCATAGTGGAGTACGTACTCCTCCTCGCTCGAAAGACGCGGAGGTGGTGGTAGTGGGGGGGGCAAGTGTATTGTAGGGTTGTGGGCCCCCACCCCTCAACAGGAGAGAAACAAAGCCTGCATGGGCGCGAGAAAGGAACGGAGGGGGGGCCCACAACCTACTAGGGGGGGGGGGGGGCGCCCCGCGGGCCCAGGTGTCAGAGGATGAAGGTGGTCTCTTCCCCTCTCGCGGCCGCCAGCGCCCCCAGGTCCGTTCCTGGGGGCCGGCACGCTCACCGCGAGGGGGTGGTCACCAACCTGTACTCCGCGGGGTGGTGCTCGCCGTGGTTGTCGTTCGGGGGGCCGCAGAAGTCGCCCATGTGTCCGCCGTATCGGTCGTCCTCCTCGAGGGGGCGTTCACCTCGGGGTTGGCCTCGTTCGCATGCGTACTCGGCGCCATCGCGTGGTGGTTGCCCCCGTTGCTCTTCTTGTGCCCCTGTTACGGGCATGGCGTTTTCCGTTGTCTGACGACGTGTGGTGTGGTCGGTCGTGCGTTCTGACGTGGTTGATGAAGCGAGGCAGTTCGAGGCTTGTGGCGACGAGTATCCAGGTCGCGGCTCGAGGAGCACCGCGCCTGGACGTTCTGACATCCAGCAGTCGGGTCCTGGCTGTTGTGGATGACGATGCAGTCGAGCATGCCACATATCGTCGGTGCTGGGTCGGCGTTCGGTGCTGATGTGGTCGCCGTTGCCATCATGTCCATCATAGTGCCACGTCTGTGCCTTTGTGTATGCGTCGGCGGTGGGCTGGAGTGTTTGCTCTATGGCCTGCGTCAGTGTCGTTGTCGTGGTGATGTCTGCAGGGCAGTTGCAAGCAGTGAATGTTGTGGTCAGGGTTGTGCTGCACGTCGTTGTGATGTATGCGTATTCCTGTAGCAGCAGGTGTCGGAGGCTGCTGTCCAAGATGATGGTAGGTGTGCGCGTCATCATCATCCGCTGTGCGGTCCGTAAGACGTGCCGCATGCTGTCGTTGTCTTGTCGTACCGCTCTGTGCTGCGTGGGTGTGAGATCCAGTCGTCCCCAAGGTGCCTCTTGCGTCCTGAGGTTGAGGTCGCGGTCGAAGGTCGTGATGTCGGCGTCGATGATGCAGAAGGCAGCGTGGTCGTATGGTGTCGTGGCCATGTCGGAAGCCGTTGGGTCAGGTTGGGGTGGGTGCATGGTTGGCAGGTGGTGGAGTTCGATGGAGATGCTGTGTCTGTCTGCGGTGGCTTGGAGGGCGTCGGTCACCGCGCTGGTGTGGTCGTGGTTGGCGGTGAAGAGCAGTACGATGCTGGGCTTTCCTGTGATGTCGGTCATCCCCGTGTCTGCTCGGTTGGGTCCGCTGTCTTGTGTGGTGGGTGCGTCGGTGGGTATTTGGGCTGGTATTGGTCGGTGGTCGTGGTCGGCGTGGGTTGGTGGTCCCAGTGCTGGCCCATGTAGCTGGATGGGTGGCCGCTCGGCGTAGTCTTCTGGAAGCCCAGCGTGTCGGTTGGATCGTCGTACGCGTCGGGTCTCCTCCTTGTGCGCGTCGATGTCTTCTGTTGGCGGCTTCGCTCCGAACTGCATCAGTGTGGCTGCACACTGGTGTGACGACTTGACGTGTTTGGTAAGTCTGTTCGCGGTGTAGAAGTACTTCAAGCATACCTGGCATGTGTCGCCGACGATGTAGTTGTCTATGGTGTGCTTGTCCTGGTGGACGGCGTAGACATGCTTGTTGTGTGCTGCTTTGGTCTTGAATGTAGCACCGCAATGGTAACACATAACTCTGGCTGGTGCTGGTGTCGTGGTTCCTGCTTGTCGGGGTAGTGGCGGCACTCCCAGTGCTGTTGCCGTTAGCGATAGGTCTGCCCGCAGCTGGTCCTGCGCTGCTCGGTCGGAGGATGAGTCTTGTGCGCGCTTGTAGGTGCTCGTGATAAAAGACTTGACCGTGTGCATGTCGTTGCGTGCAGCCTTGATGAAGTCGATGATGTCCTTGGGTGCGGTGGTGATGCGGGTGCCGTCGCAGTGCTGTCGGCATGTGTGGATGTCGTTGTTGATGGTTTGCGTCCAGGTGCCGTTGGCTTCGATGTCGTAGTCAATGAGTGCCTGCGTTTCGTACGGGCATCCTTTTATGAGTCGCAAAAGTTCTCGCAGTCGTAGCCATCGTAGTCGGTCTTCGAGGTTCGGTAGTTGAGCACGTGCCAGTATCTGCTCGTTGGTGATGTGCTTGTCCTTCATGGCCTTGTGCGTAATTCCTATTGCCTGTCGAGCCGCAGTGACGTAGGCTGTGTTGATCCTGTGGTAGTCCCGCGCTGTTGTGATGAGCCATGTCCCCGCGTTAAATAGCAGTCTTGAATAGCCGAATGACTCGAGGTAGTGGATCTTAGTCTGGATGGAGATGGCTTGTCGTTGGAACAAGGTGCGTCGGAGTGGGCCTGTTGTCTCGCGTAGCGCGATGGTGCGTGCTGCCGTCTCCTGGCCCATGTCGTTCCTGTCGTTGAACATCGCGCCCAGCAGCTTGGTGCTTCTAGCGATGGTGACGCAGAGCCCCATGTCGGTGATGCTGTGGTTGTCCCGTATCATGGTCCGTGTAGCTCTTTTGCCTGCGACGGTGTTGGGGTAGACGATGAAGCTGGACTTCTTGGTGTTGATCGGGAGGCCTCTTCGCAGTGTCGCGCGTATGAGATGTCCCCACATCTTGGTGATGAGTGCATGGATCATGGTGCCGTCTGCCGTGGATGCAGCCGCCTTGACGTCGTCTACGAAGGATGTAGAGGACAGTGTGGCGTTGTGGTCGCAAGCTCGGAGACGTGGTGGGGCATGCGGTATGTCGAAAGTCGCTCCATCCTCGACGGCGTGGTCGTGGTAGTCTCGCGTGACGTCCGCCATGAGCATGTTGAATGTGAAGTCGGCTGTTGGTACGCCAGGGCGTGTACCAAGTCGTGGTGCTGCGTAGCTGCACTGGTCGTCGATATAGAACCAAGTCCCAGTGTGTGCCTCTGTGAGCATGTCGACAATGTGTTGGTTGTCCACGTGTTGGTTGACAATGCCGTTGTCGGTCATGAGGGCCTCAATCGCGGGAAGCATGACATGGGGGATGTCGATGTGGGCGAGAAGGTCGTCCAGCTGCTCCTTGGTCTGGGTGAAGTTGTACACGAGCTGGTTGACTACCTTGTGGAAGGCTGCTTTCAAGTCTATCATGATGATGACCATGTCGTGCTTCAAGTGGTAGGCGGTGTTGGATAGGAGCCGCATCGTCATGTGGTTGATGTCCGTGCTGTAGTGGTGTCGGCCTCCCGTCTGAGTGGAGAAGAGCATCGTGGGGATGAGGTCCTTCATGCATTGTCTGATGTATCTGTAGTGGTGCTTGATGACGGTGTTGGCTAACGTGATTGACCGTTGGTTGTTCAGGTCCTCCTCGCTGCCTTTGCCCTTCCAGAAGTACGTCATCCTGGACCCCTTGAGAGCTACGCCCTCCCTGCAGAAGAGCGCCGCTTTGGTGATGATCGGATGCATGTGTCGGGCCATCTGCCGTGGGGCGATCTTGGAGAAGTCGTCGGATACACGATCTGGTCCTGGTGCGCGGTGAGGTCTCGCTTTGTGAAGGATGTCGGTGAGCTCGTAGATGCTGGCGAAGTTGTTGACGTGGCGCGTTCTCCTGGGCTGAGCTGGGTCGGTCCTGTCCTCCTTGGCGTTGTATCTGTCAACCACGTCCTGAGCGGAGAGGATGTCGGCTGCTTCGTTGTGTCCGAAGTGGCGTGTGGCTGCGTCGGCCTTGCTCGTGGAGCTGTCGAGGACAGTGCCGTCTGCTGCGTTCATCATGGGGTATGCTTGCCGCTTACGTCTCTTGCGGCCGCCGAATAGCAGGAGCTTCTTGGTGTACTTCCACTCGGTGTACGTGTCGCCAGTGCGCTTTGCATCCATTGCCTTTTGTGCTTGCTCTTCCAAGAACGCGTCGTAGTCCCTGTCGGTCATCTTGACGATTACTTTTCTCGTGGCGTCGATCCAGTGCCGTACGTGTTGTAAAAACCCATGATAGTCAGGGTTGTAAGGGAAATTCGCTGCAGCGTAGTTGAGCATGTAAGTCTCGCAGTAAGTAGTGTGGATCGCCTCGGGAGTCATCTGAAGGGTCGGGTCGTTGTGGATGTCGTTGATGAGCCTTTGGATTCTGCGCTTTGTCGTGCTAGCTGTCGCTCCATGTGTTGTTGCCTTACGGAGGAGCTTCATGAACTTCCGTCGGCTGAGGACAAAGTCGAGCGTGGTCTCTGAGATGTACTCCTGGTATTTCTTCTTCCCGCTTCTTTTGAACGCTGAGGTCGCTGCGTCCATGATGGTCAGCATGTACTGGTGGATGTGCTCATCGTAGTCCGTCCCCCATGACGGTAAGACAGTAGCGTCCAGGTGCATCTTGAAGGTCTCGACGGCCTTCTCGTCATTGAGCTGGTGCTTGTCGATCTTCGGGAAGAGCTGCTTTGGCGCAGTGTGCCGCACGGTCCAGCAGGCTCGAGCTGTAACTGGCAGGTGATCCTCGCGGTGATGCTGCCCTTGTCGGTGTTTCTTCATGGTCTCAATGTCGGCCAATGTCTTGACGTCGGTGATGTGGCTGATGAGCGTATCGTCCGCGATGATGTAGTCGATGCGATGCTTGTGCCCATATGCGTCTGTCCACGTGTGGTGCTCGTCGCCGTTGGAGATCACGGTGTTGGCGATGACGTAGTGCCCTGCGGCTGCTATCTCGTGAAGTTCCTTGCCGTTGCTGTCCTCGGTCTGGGAGAGTCCAGCAGGTCCAACAGATGTCGACTGCACGCTTCCAAGTCGGCCGTTGGCGTCGGCGAGCATGAGGTTGGGTCTGTGCTGTTGTACGAGCTTCTGTAGTCGCTGCCAAAAGTCTTGTCGTTCTTGAGGACCTTTCTTGCTGTGAGGAGCATGAAATACACAAATGGTGGTATTGATGCAGTCCGTAGTGACTTTGACGATGAGGATCCTTGGCTCACTGATGAGAACGTGGCAGTGTCTGGGCTCGAAGTGCTGTGGGCCGTCCTTGTTGTAGGCGTAGGGCTCCTCCACGTTGATCCATAGCTCACATCCAGCGTTGTAGTGGTCGTGCGGGCTGCTGATGATGAAGTATCCATTCCCAGTTGTTGTACGTCGTTCGTTGCGCGCCTCCTGAATGCCGATGATGTGGAGTCGCTTTTCTTGAAATTGTCGTCGAAGCAAGGGTCCCCGCCACTGGTGTGCAAGCCGAGCTGCCTTTGTGAACTTCTTCTGCTGCTGAGCGTCGGACTCTCTGACACTCTCGGCGTTGTAGGTTGCAATGGAGAGCTCGATCTTGGTTTCTTTGGCAGAGACCGTCTTAGGCGCCATGAGGTGTCGAACACTAGCATTCCGAGTTGGTAATCCAAAGCGTAAGGTGGCACCTTCGCGTAGTGGGTAAGCTGCTCGATCGGGATGATCAGGCTGGAGGATCGACTCCCATTGGTAGTACTTTGTGTCCGCAATGATGTCTCTGAAGTTGTGCGGGATGGTGTCGTAGTCGTGGCCTCTCTCGTAGCGCTTGCGTGTCCTCTTTGAGATTCCGTCGGCGAGCTCGTTCCACGGCATGCCTTCGTGACTCGGGACGTGATGCAAGGTGATGTCGTTTTCGTTCTTGAGTGTGTCGAAGATGACCTTCATGAATCTCGCAAGATGTTCGTCTGCTGATGCTGTGGCGCGTCCCATGCATATGTTGATGGCCGTCTCGCAGTCGGTGTGGATACAGATAGGTTGCGGCTCGGCGACGGCGATGGACCACATGAGAGCCTGCACGATGGCCATGATCTCGCCTGTGGTGTTGGTGGTGCTGCGGTCGTTCAACTTCATGTTGTGGCTCTTGCTGACGATGCTGCTGAAGGCTCCTCTGAACGTGCGTTGGTCGTGTTCACCACCTTCTTGTAGTACCAAGAATGCCCATGAGCAGCAGTCTGGTCTCCGTGCGTTGTGGGAAGCGTCAGTGAAGATGTGCTTTGCGCTGTGGGCATTGTTGCCTTTCGTCGTATTGTTGAGCGCATATGTTGCTGCTGGGTGCAGGTCATCACCTTCGATGTTGGCGTTGAGAAAGGGGGCGGTCGTGGCCCGTATTCGTCTGATCAGTCCTCTGGTGTCCCCTAGGTCGCATGTGCAGTCGCCTGGTGGTTGCAGGCCGTGATATCTTGTGATGTCGAGATTGGCCTCGTGGTAAGATGGTTGCGGTTGTTGGGGCTGCTTGTCGGCGCTGGGATTGGGTGGTCGCTGTACTCGAAACGGTAACATTGCTGTCGCCTTCTGCTGTCGTCTGTGTGCAGCTTGTCCGTTGTGCGTTGTTGCAGAAACTCCTGCTGGGCATCGAAAGGGGTGCATGGCTGTCTTTTGTCGTTGACGCCTTTCACCTGTGGCCACGTGGCAGTCTCTGTCGGGTGCTGCTGTGCCATGTCCAGCGCCCTGGGATGCTGTCAGGACTACTGGTGGATGGCCGGTGGGCTGCTGTGTCGGAAGCGTGGTGGTATGTCTTGCTGAGGGTGGCGGTGGGCTGGGTTGCAGGGCTTGGAATCGATTGTGGGTCGTGGTGTGCGTAGATGTCTGCTGTGCTGTTAGTCGCCGTCGCTGCTGCCGTCGTACTCGTGCCAGAAGCCGCGTGCGAATGGCGTCGTCATCGAGGTGGAAGTTGCCGCTATCCATCTCGCTGCTGTTATCGAGGAAGGTATCCTCGATCCCAGGGAAGTAGTCTATCGTGATCGCGCTGTGGTACTCGGGCGTCTCGTTGTGGACGTCGGAGCCGTTGAATTTCCGTGCATGCATAGAGCCAACATGGCTAGTTGTGGTGACCGTGACGTCGTGCAGGTCGGGCGCCTGCGAGCCAAAATGGCTAGTCGCCCTTGTCCATAGGTCGGGCTTGGGTCGCTCGAGTCGGGGTGGTGTATGTAACCAATTCGTCTCGTCGCCTGGCCTCGCCCTTGGTGTGGTCGGCGTGACACGCTGAGTTCTCTCAGAGATGATGGAGCGAGGTAGGTCGTGCCTTGGCGAAGTGTCAGAGGTGGCGGCATAGGAGCCAGGTGGCGCTCGTGGAGGTGTCGACCTGCGCGAGGTGCCATCTGGGGGGACCCTCCCCAGTATGGCAGTCGAGCTTGGGTGGGGGCGCGAACCGCTCGAGTAGATTTCCCACTCTTCGGTCGGGTAGCGCCTATGGTGGGTAGTTGTTGGTGGTCCAACGGTTGCGTCGTGCTGGTAGTGTGAAGCAAGTGAAGCTTCTGCCGTTGTCCGTCGGGTCTGATCTGCTATCCCCAAAGCAGGAGTCAGTGCGCGTGGACTGGTGGTGTGTGTCGGAAGGTGGCTGTCAGAAGTGCAAGTCACCTGCACCCCCTGGGTCGTCAGGTTGGTTGCTGTCTGCGAGCCAGTGGAGTCTGCTGTCGCGGAGGGATGGTGGCAGAGTCGGCTGTCTATGTTGCCTGGCGCTCGGTGCTGATCCGCAGTCCCCAAAGCGGGTGTCAGCCTGTCGAGGTCAGTCGTAGTAGGCTTCCCTAGTGGAAGGCGGGGTGGGTGTGCGTGTCTGAAGCTGCAAGTTACCTGCACCGCAGGGGTCGCAAGGTTCGTTGCTGCGTCTGTGACATTGTTATGCTGTGTGGCGCTGGGCCGATAATTACGTATGGTCGCTTGAGGCCGACCAGGGGCCTGTTGCTCTGGTCTTTTTCGACGGGTCCGATGAGCCAGAGCGCCCTCATCGGGGTCGTTCGTATCTAGTTTTTTGGACGCGGCGCGGTGTCCGATCCTTCATCGTCGGGATCGGCACGGAGAGGGACGCGGTCGGATATGTCCACGAAGCCGTCACCGCTGTCGTGGATACGGACCTTCCGCGGTGGTCGTGATGTGGAGTCCTGTCTCTTGAGGGCCGATCGGGTTCGTGATGGTGGCGCTGAATGGGCCCTGTCGGGCGTTCCCATATGGAATCTGGGTGGAGGGATGATGGGGCTGTAGGCTTGGGTTGGGGTGATGCTGGTGATCGGTCGAGTCTTGGGCGTGGTGGGTACTTCGTGCTCGTCGTCGCTGAGATCGATGAGAATTGTGGTAAGGGGCGTGGATCGCTGTTGGTCATCGGGTGTCGATCTCGTGTCGGGGGGGGCGGACATGGCACGTACTTCGGGGAAGATGATGTGTGGGGTGGGGGGAGTGGCCTGCGCAGCTGGGATGGGGGTGTCGGTGCCTTCGAGGTCGGAGTCGTGATGAAGGTCAGGGATGGGCGTAGACTGTCCGTCGTCGTGCTGAGAGAGGTAGCCGTCGTCGGCGATGGGCGTGGGAGAGCACGAAGATCTCGGAGAGCTCGATTGGTATGCTTGTGTATCGCCGTGGTGTGCTTCAGAGGGCTTGTCGTGGTCGGCATCGCTGAGTGGGGCGATACTGGCTGGAGGGTGTGTGGGCGTTCTGTCGTGGGTGTGGTCGGGGTTCGGGGCGGGTGGTGAGGTGGGTGGTGCGGCTGCAAAGCCGAGGTCTCGTAAGCTCCATGCGTCTGAGTTGGGCGTGGAATGAGCTGCGTTCGGTGGAGAGCTCATCTGTCGTAGCTGCTCGAGGTAGATGTCGGCGTGTGGGTGAGGCAGCTCGTAGGGGCCTGGGATGATCGCGGTGAGGGCGCCTTCGATCTCGCGGTGGATGCGCTTCTCCTCTGAGTCGGCTAACGCCTGCTGTCTGTTCTCCTCCTCGTCTCTCTCGCTGAATCTCGTGTTCAATTCTTGCAACAGTTCAAGATCAAGAGGGTCATGAAGAAGCTCGGCTTGTCGAAACTCACGTTGCATTTCCTCCCTTTCCTTTATTCGCATCTCCTCGGTCGTCGCCAAGTGGTTGATGTACCTGTCGTGGAGCTGCTGCTCGGTGAGGTGTAGGTTGGCACGTTCGCCTTGGAGTCGGGCTCGCTCGTGCTGGTGCTCGGTGCGAATCGTGGCTGCTTCGTGTTGTTGCGCCCGCAGTTCACCGTACTCCTCGAGGATCTTCTCTTTGGCTTGCATGAGTGCCGATGATTCCGCATGAGCCCTGCAGTTGATTTCATGAAGCTGTCGTTGCTGAGCCAGTCGTAGTGCGTCTTCTTGTTGCTGCCCTCTCATCTCGTGCTGAAGTAGGAGGTTGTGAGCGCACTGAGCTTCCTCCTGTTGAAGGCGGTGCTCGGATTCACGAATTAGATGCTGGAGCCAATATGGCTTAGCCTCCCTTAGTTCGTGTTGCTGTACTGCTTCCCGCCGTGCAAGGTGACCGCGTGCGGCGTCGTGAAGTAGTTGGTGCTGTTCGAGCTCGGTCTTCATGCGATGTGCCTGTTCAGCTTCATCTTCCTGACATCGTTGTTCGGACTGTCGTAGGAACCGTTGTGCTTGCTGATGTTCTAGGTGGCGGTTGCGCACGTTGATCTCGTCTATCTCCTCCTGGAAGCGGCGCTGGAGTCGTTGCTCGTGGTGCTGTAGTTCGAGATGAAGCTCGTTGAAGGCCTTCTGAGACGTGTGTGCTTCCATGCGCGCAAACTCCTCCTGCAACTGTTCGCGGTGCTCGGATTGTCGGAGATCAGCTTGTTGGTGGAGGTGAGCTAGGTGGTGCTGATGGAGTCCCGTGTGTTGTCGCTGCTGGTCCACCTTTTTGGAGAGGTCCGTGATCATCGCGAGCAGCTCTTTGTGACCTTTTTGGTGTGGGTCGTCCTGCTGTCGAAGTGGTGCTGCTGCTGGTGCTGCGTACTGCTGGGGTCGATGATCTTCGCGCTGTCGTGGGTGAGGTGTCTGTGTCCGAGTCCTGCGCCTGTTGTGGTGGTCCTTCTCGCTCTCGTCGTTGTCGCTGTAGAAGTCGTCGTACTCGAGGTCGGGTGTGGCGTCGTCCCTCTTAGACTTCGACTCCTGTAGTAGAGCCCGTAGTATCCTCAAGCTGCCCTCCGTGTTGTCGAGCTCGGTCTGCATCTTCCTGATGTCGTCCTTGAGCGCATTCTTTCGCCTGACCGTGGTGTCGATGCATCGGCGGTAGTAGTGCACCCGCTCGTCGGGAGACAACGTGAGGAGGAGCATTGCCTTGTTGACAGACAGCTCTGCGACGATCTTGGCATCGTCGACGCCGACGGCGCGTGCGCCCTGAGCTTGGTCTGCCAACCGAGCGATGCGTCCGCGCTTGGTTGTCACCCAAAGGCGGCGCATGTCCTCCTCCAGCGGGGGCGTGGAGAAGCTCTCGTGGGACTGCATGCGCACGTCGTCGGCAGGGAGGACCTGGTCGAGGATCTCGCGCTGCTTCTTGGAGAACTGGAAGCCGTCGAAGAAGTTGTGCGCGCCGTAGTGCTTCCTGCTCTGCGTCCGTGTCGTTGTGCGATGTGTGGAGCGAGCCCGTGAACCTTTCTTGTGGGTGTCTTCGCCGTGGTGGGTGAAGTGGTGAGCATGCTCGTCCTTGGCGTCTTGCTGCTGGCAGTGGCTGTTGTGACGGGTGCTTGCGTTGCCGTCGTACTGGTCGTGGCCGTCGCGGTCCTGCTGCCAGCTCTGGTCGTCGTTCTTCCCGTACGTCCTGCGTCTTCGCGTCTGAGATCCCGACCTCCACGGCCATGGCTGAGCTCCGACGGGATGACCACGAGAAGTGTGGCTGCTCCCAGTCGCCTGCTCCCAGGCGCGCTGGTGCTTCCAGTCCTGCGTCATCTTGTCGACGGGCTGGGCGCTGTGGTGTTCCGCGAGGGTCCTCGCGGCAGAGAGGACTCGGAGCAGCGTGCGCGCCTGAGCGCGTTGCTGCCGCTGGCGCCGATGCCAGGATGGTTCGCCTTCACGAGGCGTCCTGGCGGGGCGCCTGCCGCGGCCGCGGCGCCGAGCGATGGCCCGCGGCGCGCGAGCCCGAGCACGAGGGGGCGACCGACGAGGGCGACGACGGCCCAGCCCCCCTCAGCCCGTGGCTTCCTCCTCCTCCTCCTCCTCCTCCTCCTCCTCCTCCTCCTCCTCCTCCTCCTCCTCCTCCTCCTCCTCCTCCTCCTCCTCCTCCTCCTCCCCCTCCTCCTTCCCTCCTCCTCCTCCTCGTCCTCTTCCTCCCCCGTTGGCTCCCCCGTCGGCTCCCCTCAGTCAGGCAGGCCGCTGATGAGGATGAGAACAAATCGTTTTGGAGCGTTCCAGAACGCTTCGGATCGGCCGCGGCGATCGATACATCTTGCAAACCCGCCAGATATTAGAGAATATTTGTTTGATCTCATCTAAAGTTGGCCTCCTCCATCGTCATGATCAGAGGCATCGACAGGGGGGACTGGCCCAGGGAGGGAAGCCTCGACCCTCGCTTCGCCCAGTTCTCGCCGATCGGGGCTTGGGCGCCCCAAGCTTGTCCAGGACCGTACGGTCCTGCTATGGAGATAAGTCGGGCATGTCCCTCTACAGGAGGAAGAGTCAAACATGGTCAGAAAATAGTCAGGGGGCGATTGTTGTTAGTATGTTTGAATATGTTTCGGCTAGCTTCATTGTTCCCCAAAAAAAATCCGCCTGTAGGAGGACATGCCCGACCTAACTATAGAGGCCGTATCGACGGTCTACCCGCAACGCATCGCCAGTTCCAAGCCAATGCACCCGCCAACGCCCCCCCTTCAGGGTCTCCATTTCGATCCGATCGATCCGATTCGATGTCGGCTCCGTCCTGCTCGATCTGACTCGATTCCGATAGGTACGGCCCGATGTTCGCATGACGTTGTTGTGCGCCCTGGCGCAGCTGATCCGATCCGATTTCAACTCCGTGCCGATGCAGCCCGATGCGATGCACGTCTGGATCCGATCCGATCCTCCGATTCGATGCTGACCGCTCTTGCCTTAGGCGCCTCCTCTTGTTCGTTCCTCCTTCTGAGGACGTCTCGCACCAGTATCTGGTGAACCTGCAGCCCTCCCCGGGCTCCGCGTTCTCGAAGGCCGTGTACGACAAGAGGGCCGAGTGCGCCTCGGTAATTAGAGAAGAAACGCTTGCACCAGTTCGCCATGGGGGAAACGGGTCCTGAGGGAAGCGGGTCCTGAAGCGTTTCTCGGCGGCGAGCGAGGGGGGGAAGTGGGAAGGAGAGGGCCTCCTCACAACTCAGAAGACGGCGGGGCTTCTCAGAGGCCCTCCGGCCTTCTGGGCCTTCTGCGAGATGTTCTGTGACCTCGGGGAAGGCGTAGAACACTTCTCAGAAGGCCCAGGGACTTCCGTCCGAGCCTTCCGAGAAGGCCCGCCCCTTCTCCCTTCCCCCCCTGGGCTCGCCGCCGACATGGGGGGAGACGGGTCCCGAGGTGTTCTGCCGTTGTCGGGCTCTCGGGTCCTTCCTCGGGCCTGTGATTGTGAGCAAACGGTTCAGAACGAAGGCCTCGTGCTGTGGGAAGGCTCCAGGGTCCAGGGCCCGTTTTCCTCGGGACCCGCTTCCCCCATGCTACTAAGCTTGCAGCTTCGGAGATCCGTGTGGACCTCGTGAGATCCATCACCACTGCGGTCACGCAAAAGCCCCTGGGGGATCGCCTCTTAGTCATCCTCCTCCTCCCCGTCCTCTCCCCGTCCTCCTCCCCACTCCTCCCTCCCCCTCCTCTGGAGGTGTGGAGCGTTTCGCGAAGAGCGTTTCGCTGGAGGGCCCAAACAGGGCCACGGAGGAGCCCCACGGGGGGGGACGGGGAGCCACAGACCGCCCGGGCCAGCAGCCACTCCGCTCCGCGTGCGACGCCCCCGCCGCGAGGAGGAGTCGCGACCTCGCCGAAGTGCTGGCTTGCTAAGGGCGGCCACGATCACCCACACGCCATACATCAAGGGCGTAAAAAGCGCCCCTACCCTGGTGTATGAGGCGCTGTGCGCTGAACCTCCCGTGGGCTGACAGGGCAAACCCTGCGTGTCGTTCGTGCCGCGCGGCGTGCCGGCGGCTCTCTGGCCTGTGGGAGTTCCCAAGAGGTTTTCTGACCACGCACTTGTAACCCAGGGTACGGGCATTTTTACCTAACAGCGAAGACTGATAGGTTTCTAGTGGGGTCAAAAGAGAGCATCTTGACTCCCCAGGGGGGTCTGGGCAGGATCCGGGGGATGCCGGGGAAAAGCGGGGACTCCCCATTTTGATTGCCAGGAGCCACATTTTGATTGCCCGGAGCCAACAGAACACCATTCCCAGGCCACATTTTGAATGCCCGGAGCCAACTGTAGGCCACTTCGTGTTCTTCGTGTTCCCAGAACACCATTCCCAGGCCACATTTTGAATGCCCGGAGCCAGCTGTAGGCCACTTCGTGTTCTTCGTGTTCCCAGAACACCATTCCCAGGCCACATTTTGAATGCCCGGAGCCAACTTCGTGTTCCCAGAGCACCATTCCCAGGCCACATTTTGAATGCCCGGAGCCAGCTGTAGTCCACTTCGTGTTCTTCGTTTTCCCAGAACACAATTCCTGTACCATGTTTTGATTGCCCGGAGCCAACTGTGGGCCATTTCGTGATCTTCGTGTTCCCAGAACGCCAGTCCTGTGCCATATTTTGAATGCCCGAGCTGAGGCAGGCTGAGGCCGAGGCAGGCTGAGGCCGAGGCAGGCTGAGGCTGAGGCTGAGGCACGCCGAGGCAGGCTGAGGCTGAGAGGCTGAGGCAGGCTGAGGCTGAGGCAGGCTGAGGCTGAGGCTGAGGCTGACGCTGAGGCTGAGGCAGGCTGAGGCTGAGGCTGAGGCTGAGGCAGGCTGAGGCCTGAGGCTGAGGCTGAGGCTGAGGCTGAGGCTGAGGCTGAGGCAGGCTGAGGAGGCAGGCTGAGGCTGAGGCTGAGGCTGAGGCTGAGGCTGAGGCAGGCTGAGGCTGAGGCCGAGGCTGAAGGCAGCTGAGGCTGAGGCTGAAGCAGGCTGAGGCTGAGGCTGAGGCAGGAGGCTGAGGCTGAGGCAGGCTGAGGCTGAGGCTGATGGGCTGAGGCTGAGGCAGGCTGAGGCTGAGGCCGAGGCTGAAGGCTGAGGCTGAGGCTGAAGCAGGCTGAGGCTGAGGCTGAGGCAGGCTGAGGCTGAGGCAGGCTGAGGCTGAGGCTGAGGCTGAGGCTGAGGCAGGCTGAGGCTGAGGCTGAGGCTGAAGGCTGAGGCTGAGGCAGGCTGAGGCTGAGGCTGAGGCTGAGGCTGAGGCTGAGGCTGAGGCTGAGGCTGAGGCAGGCTGAGGCTGAGGCTGAGGCTGAGGCTGAGGCTGAGGCAGGCTGAGGCTGAGGCCGAGGCAGGCTCAGGCCGAGACAGGCTGAGGCTGAGGCTGAGGATGAGGATGAGGCCGAGGCAGGCCGAAGCTGAGACAAGGTGAGGCTGAATGGGGGGGGGAAGGGGGGGGAGGAGGGGAGGCTGAGGCAGGCTGAGGCCGTGGCAGACTGAGGCCGAGGCAGGCTGAGGCTGAGGCTGAGGCTGAGGCTGAGGCTGAGGCTGAGGCTGAGGCTGAGGCTGAGCAGGCTGAGGCCGAGGCAGGCTGAGGCTGAGGCTGAGGCGAGGCAGGCAGGCTGAGGCTGAGGCTGAGGCAAGCTGAGGCTGAGGCTGAAACTGAGGCAGGCTGAGGCATCCGTAGGAATCCATAGGAATCCTCAGGAATCCCTAGGAATCCTTAGGAATCCGTAGGCATCCTTAGGAATCCGTAGGCATAGTTAAGCATCCTCAGGAATCCTTAGGATTCTTCAGGAATCCTTTGGAATCCTCAGGAATCCCTAGGAATCAGGATTCCTAAGGATTCCGAAGATTTCCCCAGGATTCATATGGATTCCGAAGGATGCCTAAGGATGCCTTAGGAATCCCTAGGAATCCTTAGGATTCCATTGGATCCCAAGGCCGTTGCTACTGCGACTGTCATTGCGAATGCGACTGCGACTGCGAGAACAGCAGAATTCTACAACTGGATTCTCACCTGAATCTTAAGGGGAATGCGTCCAGATATGCTTATACACATCGCTGTTAGGTTGCTTTGCCCATATACACTGAAGGTTCAGCCGAGCGAGCGAGGCGGTGCCTGCGATCGCCCCCGAGAAGGTGCACCATGGGCCGTGCCCTCGCCCCTGTCCCGGCTGCATCTCTGTCGCAGGAGCGCCTGTGGATCTTTGGGAATGCATGTGTTCACCGGCCGAACTCCTACTACTTCTCGTCCCGCCTCTTCTCGGGGGCGGCAAAGAGGGGGGTGATGACTAGGGGGGGGGGGATTTCATGGCGCGGGCCATGACTTTTGCCCAGATGTAATGGCGCCTCTTCTTATTTCGTTACGTCCCTGGTCCCCCCGCTGGGCCGCGCACATGCTGCCGGTCATGATGTGCACACACCCCTCTTGGACACCCCCCTCTTCGCCGCTCCCGATCCTACTTCTCGTCCCGCCTCTTCACATTTGCTGATATTAGTCAAGGGTGGAAAAACCATCCATCCCCCCGACCCCGACAGTTTGCGCTTACTAAACAGCACTGGGCGTCTACTAAACAGCCGTGCCCTGTTCGATTGCTTCCATGGGTGCGTTTACTAAGCGGCTTCTCTTGTCGGGGTGCTTCTTATGAGGGTGGATTTTCGGCTCTCTAATTAGGGTACTCGGCTGGGGCAATTTCCTGTGATTCTTCCAGGTGATGGGCGTAGACCCCACGCACATGTACCCCCTGCACGTCTCCGTGACCGGCTTCTTCGAGGCCACGCAATCGCAGCTGGGGCCGCTGCGGCGGATGCTCCACGAGCTGCTGCAGTCGGAGCTGCAGGGGACCTCCGAGCGCATCCGCGTCGGCGAGGTCATCTGCACTTCGACGGGCTACGTGCTCTTCTCGGGCCGGACAACAGGGGGGGATAGGGAAAGGGGGGGTTACGAAATTTGCGGCATGCAGCTGGTTTCGGCCCCACCGAGGGGCCCGTTCCTCGACACATGGCCGCCTCTGGCGCTGGGAGGCGCCGGGAAAATCAGCTGCGCGAGCTGATTCTCAACCCCCCCCGTTACGATCCCCCCTTTTCGCCCGACCCGATCTTCGACATGAAGGCCGAGGCGATCACCAGGGTGGCGAAGCTGCTCGGCGAGCGCTCCCCCGCGGAGCTCGGCCTGCACATCCCCGGGTGCCGCCCAGGGGCGGGGCGCCCGCGGCCCCGGACGGTGTGCACAGGGACGTGTGCATCGCTCGGACGTGTGCAGTTTTCCTTTGGCGAGGACCTCCTCCACCTCCTCCTCCTCCTCCTCCTCCTCTTCCCCCTCCTCCTCCTCCTCCTCCTCCTCCTCCTCCTTCTCCTCCTCCTCCTCCTCCTCCTCCTCTTCATCCTTGATCAGTCGGCGAAAAAACCACGCACGAAAACGAAAAAACAACACAGGGAATGGGCGTCTGAGCGGTGCCGAGAGGACTGTCCCGGCAAGCTCCCCAGGCTCGAAGAATAGCAAGCAGCACGAAGATCGACGTGCTTGGGACCGCGCCGCCTCCTTGGCGCGCGCTTCGCGCGCCAGGGAGGAGGTACAGCGCCGATCCCAGGAGAGATCCTCGCGGACCTTCGAAAGTTTGTGTTCACGTAATGAATGCTGTGGCAGCTTCCGCTCCAGAGCACCCCTCGCGAGGCTCAGGATGCCCCGGGGCGCTCCAAAGAGAGTTGGGGACGCCTTGGCCAGGATCGCCTCTTCCGCGGCAGGTGGTCGCGCGTGTCCACCGTCTGCGGGGCCGATCTCCCTGGATTTGGGGAGGCGGTGGATAAGGATATGCTCGGACCCTCCTGCACAGTCGACCCGCATAGCAAGGATGGGCAACCTTCCTAAGGGTACCCTTGCATCCTTGCCTCCTCGGTCCATCCTTTGCCGTTTTCGTTGGCCGCGCCCCGCCCGCAAAGGGTCAGCATGGCCTTCCAAGGCCCTCGCATCCTTATCGTGCATCCCGATGATACGGGTTGACTGTAGTCGGAAAAGAACGTCCGTCTCCCCAGCCTCCCCCGGGGTCTCGGCACATCGGTCGGTTCCCCAGGCGGTGGGTCTGAGTAGATCCCCGCAGCGTTCCTGTGGCGGCGCCCGGACATCAGGCCCAAGCACGTGAACCACATATCGCTGGCGTCTGGGCGGAGTGACGCGGCCGACCGGGAGAGGATCCGGCGCATCTACGAGCCGTCGGGCACAGGCCCCGAGGCCGAGCAGTTGCGGGAAGCGTACAGCTACCCGTCCTTCGACCTCGTGCTGTCCAGGCTGCTCAAGAGCTCCACGTACGATCCCTCCGACCTTCAGCCGCACAAGTTCGAGGAGTGCTCCAGGATTCGGGGGGGCGTCAATCGGGCGTTGCTAGAAGTGCCCCCGGCCCAGGGCGCCCCCAGAATTTCCAGGGGGCCCAAAAACGGCCTGCAGAGCACCCCTCACGAGGCCCACGGGGCCCCAGGGGCTCCAAAATGGAGCGAAAAGCTGGGGGCAGCCTGGGCCAGGGCACCTCCAGCAGCCCCCGAGGCAACCACCTCACCCATCCTGGCCGCGCCTCTGCTGGGCCCGGGAGCGGTGCCTGCGCTCCCCCCCTTGCTTGGCCAGAGAGCCACGTACACCCATCCCGAGCCCCCGGGGTCGGCCTGGGCAAGGATCGGTGGCGTGGTCCGTGGAATTCCGCCGGTCAGGATGCCCGTGCTGAAGCTCAAGTGAGGGGTGGAGGTCCGGCAGCGTGGTCGGCGCGATTGCCGCGGCGGCGTGCGCCGCTGCTCGAAGAAGAGAAAACGCTTGAAACATGAATCTGCGCGGCGCTCCGCGCGGATTTCTTGGCTCCGCGCCGGGGCCCCCCCAGGCGGCGCCTCCGGCGCCGCCTCTGTCGCGCTCCGCGCTCCAGGGAGGGGGCCCAGCGCAGATCCAAGAAATCCGCGCGGAGCGCCAACAGTTTATGCTCGCGGCGTTTTTTCTTCTTTAACGATTGCCGGGGAGGCATGCACCGCCGCTGCAGGCAGACAGCGCCCGACACATCTGGACTCTCGGGAGTCTCTGGCTTGCTGTCGAGTCCGTCCCCGTTGTCGGGCGACGAGACCTGCGGTAGGTTCGCGTCGTGTCGACCGGCGGCGACCCCAGCGCGGGCCTTCGGCATCGACCGCCGCCAGCGACCCAGAACCGGTCGATGTTGAACGACTTGACGTTTGGGAAACGGCCGATCGTTCAAGGTTGAGTCGGGCTTGTCCCTCTGCAGGAGGCACAGTAGAAAGAGTAGTCGGGCATCGATTGTTCGACCGCGTTCTACTATTTCGAATACGTGTTGACTGTTCGTTACCTGGCATCGCTTGGACGTGTGCATTTTCTTCTCGGCGAGAACCATCGAGGACCATCCTCGACCAACGAGCAGAAAAGAAAACGCGCACGAGACCGAGAAATGCACGGGAGATGGACGTCCGAGCGACGGCGAGGTCTTATCGTTCGTCCACAGTCCGCCGGTAGGAGGGCATGCCCGACCCGAGTCGAGGCTGAGCGGCCCCCGCGGCGTCGGGATGCAGCGCGCCGAGGTCGGCGCGGCCCGAGCCCGCGGCGTGTGCGCGAGGCCACGCCGCCCCTGGCCGGGTCGAGCTCTCGGGCCCGGGATCGGTCTGCGGGCCTCCACGGCCAAGGCCGGGGGGCGTGCGCGCTGCTCCTCCAATCGGGGGAGCGTAAGACCCGGGTTTGCCAGGACTCGGGTTCGCCATCGTGTTTTGACGACCGCGCCTCGGATTTTGACGAGGAGGAGTTTCGTGGGATGACTGCAGCGGGAGGCCTCGTCAAAATGCAGGCTCGGCCTCGCCATTTTTTTGACGACCTCGTCGGGGATTTCCGAGTCCCCTGTACCCAGGTCTTACGTCCCCCTGATCCAAGCAGTGGCGAAGA